TCCAGCCGTGAAACTCACAGATGGCCTCTTCTTCCAACAGAAGGCTGTTTGTGTGCGTGGGAAGTATGTTTACTACGGCCACCTTCTAGCCACGATCTCAGGCTAGATCTTCTCGGGGAACTTGGGGCAGCTTCTGTATCAGCGCTTGTTGCCTTACTGAGCCCTTTCATGTTGTGGAGACAACTTTCCTTAAACCTTATGAAACTGCCTCTGTTAGCTTCAGACTGTTCATGTGCAGCTTCCTCGCTCCTCTCAGCTCTCATAGAATTGAACAGAGTGAGGGCCTTGCTCTGGATGAGGCTCTGGTTTGGGGAATGTTGTGGCTGGTTTGATCTTCCACCCAGACCAGTAAGACTTTCTGCGTATCAGCAGCAAGGCTGCTCCACTTTATCATCCGGGTGTCCCCGGAGAAGCACGCTCACCTTCCTGCAAGGACCCTTTGCATTCACAGCCTGAAACTGTGTGGCACCACAGGCCTAGCTTTCTGCCTGTCTCGGCTTACGACTGCTTTCCTCACTGAGCTTAGTCATTTCTAGTTTTTGAGTTAAAGTGAGACATGTGCAACTCTTCCTTCTACACGAACACTTAGAAGTCATTGCAGGGTTACTAACTGACCTAATTTCAATACTGTTGTGTCTTGGGGAACAGGGAGGCCCAAGAAGAAGTAGAGAGATGGGGGAACAGCCGGACACACACATTTAGGAAGTTCACTGTCTTACACAGGCACCGTTTGTGGTACCCCAAACAGTTACAACAGTAACATTAAAAATCACTGATCACAGATCATCACAACAAATATAATGATGATGAAAAAATTTAAAATATTGACAGAATGACCAAAATGTGATGCAGGGACACCAAGCGGGCAGGTGCTGTTGGAAAAATGGCGCCGACAGACTTGTCCGAGGCCAGGTCGCTGCGAACTTTCAATCCTCGAGCCAGGCGCCCCCTGTGGGGCACAGCACAGCGAAGCACAGTGAGACGAGGTGTGCCTGCCCACACACCTCCGCCAACCAAACAGACTTCCCTCCGTTGCTCTGTGGGACCCTGCAAGCACTACTGTGTCGCTTTACAGACAGGGGATCGGGGCTTAGGGACCTTAGTGACGTTCTCAGCGTCGGATCATCTGGCTTTGGACTGGCGCTTCTTCTATTAACTCATGTTAATTTGATCGCCAGGGATCCCTGGGGAAGGAACTCACTCTTCTGGGCCTCGTCTTCCCCATCTGTAAAAGCCAGGTCACAGCAGCCCTACCTGGTGCACAAGGAGGTTTATAATTACAGGGGAGAACAGGTTTTCACAAATTAAAAATGCTTCCAAGGACAAAGGTGTCACCGGCAGCAGCAGGACAGGCAGTCACCTCTCTCTGACCTGCCCCTTCTAGAAATGAGGGGGAAGCCTCTCTAACTCAGCTGGTGTAGCCTGCAGACAACATCTCAAATCACTTGCATGGAAGCAGGACTTAATGAGCCCTGTGTTAATGAGGATTGCGTTAGAGATGGGGAAACTGAGGCCCAGAGAGGTAAAGCAAGGTGCCCAATGACACACAGCTTAGTGGCAGAGCCAAGGCTGCTAGTATCTTCCAGGTTCCTCAAGGGCTCTCTGGAGCCTCCTTGGCAGAAGGGAGGTAAAGTTGAAGGGGCTGCAGTGGGCAGGGTTTGTGGCAGGGGACACAACAGTGTGGACTTGCTTGAATCACTAGGGGACAACTTTTGATTCATAAGGGCTCAGGTCCCTGACACTTCTCCTTTACTTTAACAATCTCTGAAAGAAGTGGCACATTTAGACTCTTTTTTAAAGCGGTCACAGCAAACTCTGTCTTGAGGTAAGGATGGGTCTCTTCTTCCCACTCTTTTGGGCAGTTTTAAAATGAGACCCTCACTCTCCCCAGCTGCCAGCTTTCCTTACACCCCCAAAGAGAGGCACCTGGGCTGCATTCCTTGTACAGGCTTGGCCACCAATGCCTGCAGGGAGCACCTGACAAATGCAGGGACACTCGGAGATTCCAGAATCCTCAACCCTTCTGACTCCACCTTCTGAAGCTCCCCCGCACATCTGGGATGGCGGTTAGAAGCTCTGCTGCTCATCTCTCTCGTGCCTGAAAATGAGGCCCACCGGCGTCCCCACCTTCACTCCCCAGTCACATCTAGGCCTCCCTGACTCTCCGGGACGCTGTCCTCTCTCCCGGAGCTGGAAAGGATGAGGCCAGTTCTCTAAGGCACGCACCAGACACCTACAACTGCCCACATGCGCTTCTGGGCCCCACAGTGGGCAATCTCTGGCATGGGGATGGCTTCACCCTTGGAACGGTACAGGCCACAGGGGCACATGCAGGCCAAGTGTCCCTGCCCGCAGTGCTGGTAATCACCAGGCTTTGATAAGGTAGCACCAAGGCCAAGTGCACACAGAGCAGCATTGTTTGGGCGCCGCGCCCGAGACACACCTGTGCAGCTCTGGCCGCGCTCTAAGCATGAAGAACACTCTGGGGATGCCAAGAAGTGGGGACGCGGAGCAGAAAGGACGGGAAGCTCTCCCAACCTTATGGCAGGTGAGTGCTGCCACAGTTCACGAGTGGGAGAGTACCTTGGGGGAGGCGCAGGTCCTCCAGCCTCCTCTTCCAGCAGCTCGTCCTGTTGACACTGGCACTCCATGGCCACCGGCACGTCTGAGTTTCTCAGTTTCCCTTTTCCTCTCCTCCCCTCCTTCCCCCGACTGTCTTTCTCTGACTCATACACCCCGTGAAAACAGCACCAAAACCTCAGAAAGATTTTTTTTTGATAGACTTTGATGCTGAGCTGGACGGAGGTAGGACACAGAAGATTCCAAGAGGAGTGATTTGGGATTTTATTTTATCTTTTATAATTTGTATTAGGTTTATGGGGGTGACGGTGGTCAACAGGATCATACAGGTTTCAAGCGTCCATTTGTATGACACCAGGTCTGTCTGTTGCCTGGGTGCCCAGCACCTACAGTCAGGGTTTTAAAGAGCACCACTGAGCATCAGTAACTCTGGTCCATCAGACCGTGTGATCTCGGGCTGGCGCAAACACAGAAGCACACCGTGATAGCCCCCGGCCCCTGGGCGTGGCAAGCCTGGGCTTTCGGGCCCGTGGAAGTGAAGTCAGAGCCACCGTGCCCGTCTCCAGACACAGCAGCAGCATGCCCTGCAGGCCACTGCCCACAGCTGCAGGCTGGCTGTGCCGAGAGGGGACACCCGTGAGATTCCAAGGCAGGGCCGTGTTCTACCGGGACCCAGCAGTTAAACCCCTGCAGGTCATCTCTCCTTCAAGGCAGCTCCTAACCAGGGGCTGCTAGGCCAGGCCTGCCCTTGGCATCCAGTGCTCCACAGCCTTCAGCTGCTGCTTGGTCTAGGCAAGGAAAGAAGAGGGACTTTCGGTGGTGCAGGGCCACACAGGCCCCAGGAAGGGCTCAGCCTTCCCTAAACAGCAGCACCATCACCTTTGGCAGCAGCTTCAATGTCTTGAGCACGGTCTTCCCCATGCCCTGTGCTCGCATGAGGGTGAAGATGAGTAAGACAGGACACCAGGGGGACTTAGGCTGGCCGGGCAGACAGGACACACATGTGCAAAGATAAGCAGTGAGTGAGACAGCCCACAGCAGGGGCTCAGACCCAGGAAGCCTGTTCAGAAGACACAGAGGCCTGTCGTCCACGGCTGCCAGGTAAGGCTTCGAGGCACGGGAGGCTCCGGGAGCTTAAAGAATGGACCAGACTCCAGGTGACTCCCAGCCCCTCGTGGCAGGGGCCAAGGGGAGACAGGGAGCTGCAACATGGCAGAACACGTAGGACGAGCATCACCCCGACAAGAGGCAGCAAAGGATTGGGGTTGCCGTTCCTCGGCTCCAACTGCAGTGTCTCAGGGAGAACGGTCCTCTCTCAACCTCAGTGTTGGCATCTGGAGAGCAGAGGTAGCCCTTCCTCTCTCAGCCTCCTCTCCAGCTACAGGCCCCGTCTCCACTCCCAGGGAGGTTCTGAGGAGTAAATGTGCTTCCAGGTTGGGAAGAGGGGCCTGTGCAAATAGAAGGGCCAACTGTAAGGAAGAATGATGCGAACCAAAGAGGGCCCTTCTCCAAGGAAGGAACCGGAAGCCAGGATGGAGAGGGGGCTCGTAGGGCCCCGCCTCAGCGCCCAGACTCTCTCGGCTCCCCAGCTGCCACAGCAAAGCACCATGAACAGGTGCTTAAAGCTGCCAATCACTGTCTGGGGCCTGGAGGCCCGAGGTCTGCAATCAACCTGTTGGCGGATCACGCCGCCTCTGAAACCTGCCGGGGAGACTCTTCCCTTCCTCCTCTGGCTCCTGATGGTTTGCAGGCCACCTCCAGCGCTGCTTGGCTCGCAGCCACCTCGCTGCGGTCTCCACCTCCCTCCGTCTGTGCATGGCCTCTCCCTGTGTGCCTCTGCCTCCAGTGGTCACCTTCTTCTGGGATAGCCACCGTATTGGATATGGGGCCATCTGCTTAACTAATCACACCTGCAACTACCCTGTCTGCAAACCAGTCACATCCTCAGGCACTGGGGGTAAGGGTTCCAACACATTTTGGGGCGGGGGTACAATCCAACCCACAACACAGACCAGGGCCACATAGGGAACCCAGTGCCCTGAGGCCCAAGCAGAAGGGGCTTCTCATGGAACTGTCTCCAGAGACCAGCAGCAGACGGGCAGAGGAGGAGGCCAGGGAGCACGGAGCTGAGGCCAGGGCCACCTGCCTGCCTCCACCAGCCCAGCTCCTGGCCTTCTCAGGCCCTGACTGTCACCATCACAGTCACCATCTGAAGGCCCAGAGGCCATGGCAACCTGTGCCCAGAGATGGCAGTCCTTCTCCCACTGCAGCCCGCAGACGGTGTACCCGGCGGACGGAACGGCCTGCACGAGGAGGTTGTCTCCCTGAAACGCGGAAGCAGCGAGCCTCCCCTTCACCCCCAGGGCGGCCCAGTCAGTTCCTGCCCCGCCCCAGCCGCACGAGCCACCCACACAGGCTCCCTCGTAGGCATGCCATCTGCTGCATAACCAGAGGGGCGAGTTTTTGGAGCTGGAGGCATTCCATGGATAAGGAACCTTTCCGACCCTTTCGTCCCAGACCTACAGGCAAGAATCCAGGTAATGTGGACCTTTCCACTGACCCTCCTCCTCCTCCGGAGCCGAGGCAGGGTGAGGGCCACTCCCAGGTCAGCACAGAGCAGCTCCTCACCCTGCACAGCCAATGCCACTTCCGAGGCCCTGGGCGGAGCACGACAGCCTCTGACTCCAGGAGCCAGGCACCCATGCCCGGGGCGCCCAGACCTTCCTGCAGCTCAGCCTCCGAACAGACCTCACCACCTTCTTTCCGCATTCCTCCCCCAGGGGCCTGGCCACACCAAGTGTGAGGGAAAGGGGAGGGGCTTTGGGGAAAGCCTGGCCTCCTGTCACTGTTCCACCAACTCCCTGAACCTGGGTAAACTATTGAACTTCCCTGATCATTCATTTCCTCAACTGTAAAGTGGGAATGACAGCAGTTCACAGGGTGGGCATGAGAACGGGAAGGGGTTCTTGATGTGAACCACACACAGAAGGCCTGGAAGATGGAGGCCCCGTTAACGGTCCACACACTCCCCCCCACCGCCCCCCCACCCCCACTACTCAACTCTATGGGTTCCTTCCCACTCCGACCGAGCTCCTGGTGGGTAATCCAGTCTCACCAACCTCCGCCCAGAGAATCATTTCCAAACAAAGCGTGCGAATAGCATTTAGTTTTAAAATAATTTCATTGTTAGACACTACAGAGAAATCTGGAAAAAGAAAAACAGCGTGCATTGGAAAATGACATCGTTAAAGAAGTTTACAAAGCAGGAGTAAAGGTCCCCCTGGTCCCCCTGAGCAAGTCAGTGGGGACAGTCCTCAGTCTCGGGGCCCCAGCCTTAGCTCCCTTCTCACACACTCCTTCAAGAGACCCCCATTCTTTTTTAAAAGGTTTTATTCACTAGTTTTTAGAGAGAATGCAAAGGAGGGAGAAAGAGAGGGAGAGAAACATCACTCAGCTGCTCCCATATGCACCCCGACCGGGAACTGAACCCACAACCCCGGCGTGTGCCCTGAGTGGGCATCGAATGGGCGGCCTTTCACTCCGCGGGACCACGCCCAACCAACTGAGCCACACTGGTCAGGGCTAAGTCCTTAGTTTTGATAACTATACTGTGGTTATACAAAATGCCATCATTACAGGAAGCTGGGTGTATCAGAACTCTGCACTCTTCTGTAAATCTAAAATTATTTAAAAAGACAGAGGGAAGCAGCAGCAGCAAACACACTTAGTTCAGACGGGTGGGCGCCACACTGCCGCCCTCCGCCCCTTCCTGCGGGGGTCTGTGCCGACGGGATGCTCGCCTGCACGTGACTGCGTCTCCACTACAGTGCGCACCGCGCAGCTGTCTGTGAGGACAGAGTGCCCGCAGCGCCCCTCTCCATCTGCGGGAAACCCGCCGCAGTTTCCATCTATTTTGAAACAAATACCATTGAGCCACAGTTTAGGGAGATACAGGTTAGTACAGGTCACCTTAGGAAGATGTCCGCAGCATGTCATTACTGGGAAAGACGCTGTGACCGATGGCCCCGGCTGTATAAAGGCCCACGCACACCTGCGTCTGCGTCAGGCACAGAGATATCTGAAAGGACGGCCACGTGCTTGCTCCGAGTGGGGGGACTGCACGCGCTTTCCTTTCTTCACAGCGTCTAAAACTTGGTGATGCACACAGCTGTTTTCACTGACAGAGAGAATACCACAAAGAGGAACAAGGAAAACTCATGTACCTACATCACGATGACCATGGACACCATTATTCCCCACCTACGATGTGCCAGACACTTCATGTGGTTTCACACAGTCAGCACTTTGCCTGTATGGTATGTTCTACCCCTATTTGCAAATCACAGGCTTTACTTTTCACAGCAGTTTCAGGTTCACGGCAAACTTCAGCGAAAGTATACAGACGGTTCTCCTCTTCCCCCAGCACAGACCACAGATGAGCAGCCTCTCCCGTCACCAGCATCCCCACCAGAGCGGCTCGCACAGCACAGCGGATGAATCCACGTGGGCACGTCACTCTGGTCCAAGTCCACAGTCCACACTAGGGCTCACTCCTGGGGTTGCGCATCCTACGGGTCGGGACGACAGTATAACGGCACGTGTCCACCATCACAACATCACACGGAGCAGTTCCACCGCCCTGAACATCTCTGGGTTCCACCCAGTCAGCGCTCCCTCTGCCCAGCCCCTGGCAACCACTGATCCTTTTTACTGTCTCCATAGTTTTGCCTTTTCCAGAATGTTAGATAGTTGGAATCAGACAGTTTATAGCCTTTTCAGACTGGCTTCTTTCACTTAGTAAAATGCATTTAAGATTTCTTCGTGTCATTTTGTGGCTTAATAGCCCATGTCTTTTGTAGTGCTGAATAACGTTCCATTGTCGGCTGTACCACACTTGGTTTATTGATCCATTCACCCACTGAAGAACATCGTGGTTGCTTCTAAGTTTTGGCAATTCCGAATAAGGCAGCTGCGAACATCCACACGTAGGTTTTCACGTGGACGCAGTTTCCAGTCCCTCCTTTGGTCTACCCCAATTTTAGAGATGAGAGAACGGACTTGGAGAAGTTCAGAGACTTGCTGAGAGCCTCACAGGGTTGGAGCGGAAATCCATCACACCTAGCTGCTTCTCAATAGCTGTGTTTTCTGGGAAGCCGTCCCTCAGAGCTGTCACCTCCACTTGGTCCTGGTCCCACACCCTGCTCTGCTTGAGGCCAGGGATGGGCCTCATCAGTCATGCAGCCCAAGGCCAGAAAAGAGCTTGAGTTAAAGGGATTTGGATAAGGAGTTTGCTTTTTTGCTGCCCTAGTAGGTAGCAGCAAGAGCGTCCCTCCCTGACGCCACCGCCTTGTCCTGGAAGAGCCAGTTCACAGCTCCCATCCCAGCCCAGCTGAGCCCCTCAGCTTGGAGCTTCAGAAGCTGCCCATACTGCCTGCCACCTGGACTGGTCCTCCTCCCATGGCCCCTTCATCTCCGGGAGACTGAACTACTAGGGCAGCAGCCAGAGGCTCCTACACTGAGCTCCTGGGGGTCAGACTTTCAGCCAAGGTCAAGTTCCATAAGCAGTGGGCTCTCTGCAACTCTGCTCCCAAGGACAACGCAGCAAAGCCAACCACCTCACTGTGTGGACGAGACATGAGGACGGGCAGAACATGGACACGGCCAGCTCCCCAGCTCACGGAGGCACCAAAGTGCACCCGTGCCCACTCAGTAGCGCACTGCTTTACGTGCATGACAGGGGTCTTTGGGAATGAGTGCGAGGGGCATAGCACCAAACCAAGGGTGGGGGCGTGGGCAGGATCTGGCCTCCAGAGTCACACAGATCCGGGCTGGGACCCAGGGCCTGCTACTGACTGGCGATGAGGCAGGCCTGAACAACCCACTGAACCTCAGTAAAACATGGAATTTACTCAGCCTCCATGTCCTCACCTGCAAACAGAAGTAATGCCTTCCTGGCCAGCAGATGTGTTGCCAAAATTAGAGAACATATGTACAGTATCCAACATGCTGCCCATAGTAAGTGCTCAGTAACTGCTAACTCATTTTCAACTAAGGGGTGACTGAGTCTGAGTGCCCAGATTCCTATTGACTCAGGATGTGATGCCAGCCAAGAAAACCTCTGATTACTGAGTCCTCTCCCAATGTATTGAGGTAGGAAGAATCATGCAGCTCTACTGCTCACCTCAGCTCCTCCTCCCTGTTCCCTCCTCCCTTCAGCCCTGCCGTCAGTGGGCACCGAGAAGCATGGCCGGGACAGGAGAAAGCAGCTGGTGTTGGAGAGGGGGAAGATGGAGAGGCTGACTTGTCACGCTTGGAGGTCTGCGAGTAACTGCCAACACCAACACGATCTACGCACTTTCCATGCTCCTGGTTCAACTCCCGGTGGGGCTGGCAGCAGGTAGTGGCAAGTCCCCACTCCTGGGTCAGACACCCGGCTCAGGCACCTGCATCTTCACGTCCCCAGGAAGGAGCCTGAACCCAGCCCTGTTGAGACTATGTATTGTACTGTGACTCCTTGTTTCAGAGGACAGGCCGCCCTGAGGGCACTCAACACCCCGACCTCAGCCTAGAGGGCCTGGACCAGCACACACCTGCCCCCTCACACTGCACGGCCACCCCCGCTCCCACACACACATCATAGAATGTGCCAGAAAGCAAGCCAGGAAGCCACAGGAAGGGTTGAGGTGGTGGTGGAGGAGAGGCCTGGGCCAGGCCCATGTCCCAGCTCAGAGATGGCTGGCCCGCCCAGGGATGGGTGAGGGGGCAGCTGGCTGCACTGGGGCTGTCTCCGTGCAAGGAGCCAGGAAGGGACGCACCCGAACACGAGCAGGTCGGGATGAGGTGTTCAGTTCCCGTGTGAAAGAGAGGGCTGGCCGGGTGGCCCTTATGGGAACCTTGCTCCCCGGGGTCCGGCACACTGAGGCGAGAAGGTGCTGGACAGGAGGGGCAGTGCTGAGGAGCCCGGTGGAAGGAGGGCACAAGAACACCCCAAGACCCTGGTCCCCACCCTCTCCCCAACTGGCAGGATCGGTTTTGGGGGTGGCACAGCTGGGTGGGGTTAACTGTGCTTTTGAGGGACCATTTTGCACTGAAGGGAAAGGTCCTACCCAGTTGCTGCTCACGGGGCAAAGCAGGTGTCGGAACTCTCACTGTGACCGTGGAACCTGGATCCAAGGGGCCACTTGTGCATCCCTGAGCCTGCTTCCAGGCAGTCACATTTCCAGGCAGGCTGGACACACCTCCTGCAGCCTCTCCCCATGCGTACTGGGCCAGCAGGCAGAGGCACACTTCTGCCCTACGCGGGTGGGTGTGCCTCTCAGGCAGGCCCATCCATCCTCTTCGCACAACCACACAAGCCCAGGCTGCCAGTGCCGACACGAGGAAGGCACTGTGGCCAGGCCAGGTGCTGAGCTGGGCGGGGCTGTCTGCAGAGGGGCGGGGACGGGGAGGGAGGGCAGCACAGTTCACAGCGAGTTCGGACAGACGACGCAGGAAGGGAGGGGCACAGCGGGCAGTGCTGCCCTGCGCCCAGTGAGGCGAGGGACAGGGCCTGACCCCAGGGCACCTTGCCCACATGCTCTGTTTCATGTCACTCTGCTCCTTGGGGGGGCTATGACCCTTAGGCAGGCCCCGCACCCTGCCCTGTGAATATGTGCATATATGTTTAAAATTATAGACAAATTGAATAGGGTTGAGTTGTTTTTTAACAACTTATGCTTCAATGTTAAATAGTATTAACTGATGCCCTGCTAAGACCCTGCTAGAACTCTGTTCCATCCCCTCTGCGCCACCCCCTGATTTTTATTATATTGTTTACACTTCTGCTGTGTATAGCATTTACATTGCTGTAAACAGAATTCTCACAGTTGTCTAAGATGAACTCTACTTTATGCCCTGGCTGGTGTGGCTCAGTGGATTGAGTGCCGGCCTGCGAACCAAAGGGTCTTGGGTTCAATTCCCAGTCAGGGCACATGCCTGGGTTGTGGGCCAGGTCCCCTGTTGGGACACTAAGAGGCAACCACACCTTGATGTTTCACTCCCTCTCTTTCCCCATCCCTTCCCCTCTCTAAAAATAAATCAATAAAAATAAAATAAAATAAAATAAACTCTACTTTAAAATGGATTCAGTTTTTTTTATTTTTTACAACAGCAAAACTATTTATTTTAAATCCTCACCCAAGGATATGTTCTTTATTGATTTGTGTGTGTGTGTGAGGGGAAAAAAAGAGAGAGACAGAAACATCAGTGTGAGAGAGAGAGACATTGATTGGTTGCCTCCCGTACGTGCCCTGATGGGGGATCGAACCCACAACCTTTTGGTGCATGGGACAACACTCCAACCAACTGAACCACCAACAAGGGCAAAACTATTTTTGTTTTATTTTAATTCATCTTTTGGCAGACTGAATTTGGGGACACTATATTTTCATATGGACTATGCTTCCCCATGATGCTTCAGGCCCCTTAAAGAGATGCACCCTGGTTTTGCTGTCCCTTTTACACCGAGTACCATGGCCTCATGCGGGGCATTTTCCCCTCGCGGGTGACACAGGTGAGGAGGCGCAGATGCGGCCCGAGACGAGAGAGGCGGGCCGTGTGCAGGCCCTCAGTGTGACACCGCAGGCATCTCCTCTGAGAACCCTGCCTAGGTCACTAACGGATGGAGGCAACAGATCTCATAAACATGTGAAAATAAGGGAGTTGAGGGCGGGAGAGCCAAATAATGGACCTCACTCCTCACACGCAGGTGTCTGTACGGGGTTTGCCATCTGGACCTCCTGACCTCACATCCGAAGAGGTCCAGGCTGAACTGAGGGTGTGGCCATGCAGACAGATGCGCAAAAAACGCAGCACGGTTTTTGAGCAGGGGCGATCAAAGTCTGTGCGTCCACAGAACAAACTCAGAGAAGCAAAGAGAAAGTATTAAGCCTTTCTGTATAGTTATGTCTCTTCTCTTTCCACCTACCCGGTGACCAGCCAGTGTTCACGGTGCAGGCAGGCTCCCCCGTGGGGGTTTACTGAGGGCCTCCCAAGTCAGGCTGTTCCACAAGAACAGCCAGTTCCAGCCAAAGGTTCCTGTAACAGGAACAGGTGTGAAAGGAATATGTATTCACGTATTTTTCCAATATAGACCTATTTTAATTGTCGCAGGAAAAAACAAATCCTATTGCCAGAGCACCTTAAGAAAAGAAAAAAAATGCTTTGAAACACTGTACACAGTTGGGTTTGAGGGGCTTTAACAGCCACAACAGCCCATGGCGTCCAAAGCCAGTGTGGAGCCACCAGAGGCCCTCTCGGCCCAGGCCGGCTCAGGAGGGCCCACGCCTCCAGGCACGTGTCACGGTGCTCTGGGTGTAAGAGAGACAAAGCAGGTGGGGTTCCCCACCCCTGAGCGCAGGGCCTCTGCTCCCATCCCTGGGGCCCCTGAGAAGACATGAGGAGGAGCCTGGGCAGCTGACAAACAAAAGGACAGTAATGAGGGGCAGACGTGGAATGAGAAGCTGGAGGGTGTTTTTTGCTTTTCATTTTAAAGCAAACACCATCTCTAAGAGGGGGGCACAGGGCGGCTGCACCCCTTGCTAACCTCCAGTATACGGCTGGTAGTGTCCCTCAGACTCCCAAGATAACGACAGCCAAGTAGGTTTGCAAGAAGTCCTGCGAGGGCATTTGCAGACCACAGGACGGTGGAGGATCCTTAGACAGACATGTGGACATGAACGCACAAACAGGTGCACGCCCACAGGTGCGCCTACTCGAAGTGCCGGAGGTCACAGGAGGTCAGGAGCAGACAGGTTCAGTCCTT